AGGGACAGCTTCTCAAAGAGTTTCTGTCAAGCACAGTTTGAAGATTTCAGATGGAGAGAATAAATCAGTCTTTATGGTCAGTTTGGTCCCTGACCTCTTAATGAAATGCCAGGTTTGAGATATTTAATTGTATTTCCACTGGTGTAAGGAAATGAGCTGTTCCTGTGTGGCCAGTACAAAGAAATGTCTGGTGATGCTACCAACCAGGGTCCCAGTTCCATCCTATGTGGGCAGTCAAATTTTAGGCGTTACATCATAGTTGAAGGAAAACGGACCTTCCAGCTCTGCATTAAATGTGCCCCTGCATCTTGCCGCCTTCTCAGAAAGAAATACCAAGGGTCTGCTCAGATTCTGGGAAGAAAAATAGTGAACAGCTGGAAAATGTTTTGGCCGTTGGTTAAATATAGCTAGTAAAAGAACCATCCCATTTTTAATGAGTGACACAAAGCAGTTGGCTAATTAATGGTTGTTTTCAATTGGATGAACTGCTTTAAGTCAAACTTTGATGAATGTTCACACAAAGCAAATTATTAAATAGAAAACTACAGTAAAATGTTATTATGTTGCAAATCCAAAAGAAGGATGAGTGATGCCAAGGAGCAATTCACCATCCACCAACAGAACAATTTGTTATTGTTCTCCTTAGTGGTAAGACTCTCCCTTTAAGCCATGTGTATATAAATAATTTAAAAGCAAAATTGTAAATCTGTGTAGTAATAAATAAGCCTACAGAAGGAAAAAAACCCACTATCACATCAATATTCAAAACATAAGCTAAATATGTTTTAAGTGCTTGTACTTTGTAAATAACTGTATTCCTGATTTAAAGTCTTTGAAGAATAGCCCTCTGTTCTCAAATCTGGGTCAGATCTCATGTCCAGATCCTGGGGATGAAGACCACACTCTGTTTATTTACATCTGCAAACGCAGCAATGTATTAACACAAGTCAAAACTTTCACCGAGGCACTAAAAGCAGGATTGAGGACACGAAGTCCAGCTTGTTTATAAGCAATGTGAGCTATAATGAAAGTGCTTCAGGTTAACTGCGCAGGGAGAAATTAATAACAGTTCTCCTTGTGTTCAGAGCGGAAGAATTCTACAGTCCTGTGTGTCTGCTTTTGCTGCCCAGTGTATTACAGCACAGTAACACTGAATTGGTATGGAAAAAACAAAACTTGTCATCGGTGTTTGGTAAGAATAACTTAAAAATGATTTGTAAAAATACATTTCACTTTTATTTAACCACTGAGATTCTGTTAACAGTCTTTGAACTCCAGTTCTGCATCCACATTAAGAAGATGGAGAACGTAGCTTAAAAGTAACAGCAATTTCTGCAAAAGAGAAAGAAAAAATAATTTTTGCATTAATTCTTAGCTCTGCATTGAGATTTAAACTAAGCTGGTACGTGAAGCTACCACTGACATGATTTGGGGTGGCAGGTGTGCTGTGACTAACGCTGCTTTCCATTCCAATACAAACAGCCTTCACCTGGTGTCCTTTGCAGTCCTTCAGTTTTATGATGGTCGTTAGAGTGCTTGAGCTGTGAGAGCCAACCAATTACAGCACGTTCTGTTCGTTAGTGTTTCTAGGGGAATTACCCCCCTACAGAAGTGCAGCTTTCTTCCTGAGTAACTGGCAGCACACACTGTGACTGGAGTTCTGTGCTGAGAAAACCAAGTTCAGCTTTGCCATGGAGAAAGGGGTCTTCATGGCATTTACATTTGAACAAATACTGATGGCCAGATCTTCACTGCAGTGGTGGGCAGGTACAAAGCTGGTGGAAATTCGGCACCTCTGAGTGCAGCTGCCAGGAATGCTGGCTTCTGCCAGGCTGCCCTCGCTGTTCTCAGCACAGGGGTAGCAACCTGGGCTTGTGCTTGCAGCTGTGATGTAACCCAGAGGTGAGCTTGGAAATGGGGATGTGTTGGCTGCAGTTATGGGTCTGTCATGTCAGTGACTGCAATCTGTGATTAAGCACTCTGCCTTCAGATATCCTGTAGTGTGTCAGACTCAAAAAAAGAAGATAGGCCTTCAACTTCAGCCCTCTCCATTCAGTTTTCTCTATGTGGTGCAGGTAGGTTTGTTTTTAAGGTTTTATCCCTGCTATAACTATAGAATACGTTAGTGAATTGACTGTATGTTTCTAAGGAAAAATAATGAGGCTAGACAGCATTCATGTACATAGAAATAAATGCATAGTGTTTGCAGCTGTGTCCATGTGTGCCAGAGGAGCAGATCCAATCTGTGCTTGGAGATGCTGTGTTAGCAGACGTGGGCTGGGGGAGGCTGACTGGCCTTGCAAGGTTCTTGCTCGATCTGATAGCTCAGATCCTTCCCTGAAGAGGGAAGATGTGCCATGTGCCCTGCAAAACACCAGGCTGCAGCCGGTGTCACCAGGACACCACTTTGTCTCAGGGCTGTGTTGGTACGTGGACAGTTTGTTAGGTCTGATGTTCTGCTGTGATGATAGGGAAGCAAAGGGAATTGCAGGGAGTCACGGTGTGCAAGGGGCAGCTGGGCCCAGTACGTTGCGTGCACGCTGCCACCCTTCAGGTAGTGCTATGCTGTGTGTTCCTGAGGTGATGTCCTGCCTGCCAGAAGTGTGCTAGCTGCTGCCCGTGGCAGGTCTGAAATGAGAAATGGGGCACGGCAGCGTTGCAAATATGGAGACGTACTTAGAAACAGAGTACCGTGAAGACTCCTGATGTGTTTCCCCTCCACTTTTAAAGAGTCCAGAGATGTCTAAAGAGGTTTGTTACTCACTTCTCAGCTTCTGCTGCTTCAATAAACGTTCTGTTTGCAGCAGAGGACAGATGTGAAACATGCTGGGAAGGCTCTCTCGTATTGGCAGCAGCCTCCATCCCAGCAGCAGTGGTGCGAGGGCTCGCTGCTGGGATCTGCTGCATTGCCCTCCTGGTGCAGGAAGGGGCTGCTTTTCCTGCCTGCCGTCTCCAGGGCAGAACCTCCCTGTGCTCAGCTCCCTAGGGCTGGGCTCTACGGCAGTGAGGGCAAATCTGAGCAGTGAGCAAGTGTGGGGGCTGGTGATGGTCTGTCCAGTGTGCTGTCCAGGACCACGAGCTTCAGCAGCTGCTGTGCTCCTGCACACATTCCTATTTCATTATTTTTTTACAAGAATTTACTAGTTGCTTTAGCTACCTGAGTTGTGTTAGTTCATGATATTCAGCTTTAAAAAGAAAAATCCTGTATTTGTCTTAATAACCTGCTGTTGCTAAGTAGGCAGCCCTTTGCCACATGTGTCTGCATGCAAGGACTTAATTAAAACCTTAATAACTAAATAATCTTTACAGTCTAGGTGTCTATGAGATAGCACACTATGGGGACAATAGTTGAGTTCCTCAGTTGCACAACACATTACAATGAGCTGGTTTTTATATTGGATAATAATACTCTAGCTTTGCTGGTGAGGCATATATATGAGGCTGCCTGAGCAGTTGTGTTCTCAGGATCTTGAGGTATTTCCTCTGATCATGCCACAGCAGAGACATTCGCCTCCTTGAGACCAAGACTAAGGTATGTGAGGTATTTGCCTGAGATGAGTTTCCTAAACAGAATTGGCCTCATTGCTTTTTTCAAGGATACTGAGCATAAAAAATAATAACTTCAGTACATTAAGAAGTGGTTCTGAGCTCACTTTTCTGGTCGGCTGTCTGTGCTTTGGGTACTGGGAACTCTGGTGCTCAGTCTGCAGGCTGCCCTGACGCAGCTCTCATGCCAGCTGTGGTGTGAGGCTGCAGCTGGCCTCCTGCCTCTGTGTTCACCCTGGTGGAAGCAGCCCAAGGGCACACAGTGCATCAGTCACAGTGTGCAGCCCTATATGCTGTCACATCACAGTGTTGGTGACAACCATACATGCAACTCCACGTTGCAGGATGTGAAAGGTGGCACTTGCTGGCACTTGGGGGCCCAATCACCTGTGGTTGTGGACCAGTCCAGGCTCATCTGTCTGCTCAGCAGGGCTTGGGGGAGTGAATGGCAGCAACCTGTTCTCCTGCTGCATTGCTGCAGGCCGTGCCAGGATGGCACAGCTTCTGCATGGGATTTCTGCCGTGCTGGTCCAGTGTGAAGTGTGGCCTACATCAGTGCTGGGGCCTTGCCATGGCTGACAGAGCTGGAGCTGTGTACCTGGGCTCCAGGGCTCAGCCTCCTGCACTGGTGAGGTTGGACCACAGTGGTACACAGTAAATTCCTCTCTCTTTGGCATGGGTAATTAGAAAATAAAAAAACAGCAAATATCTTAGTGTGAGCAGATAGGAGGCAGGTACAGCCTGTTCAGTTGCAGCACGGACTCTGATGGCATTTCTTGGTGTGAGCCAATGCACGGGTGCCTGCCCTACCTGCAGCATCCCCTGCAGTGTGCCACTGCTGCCCTGCCCCCCCTCTGCGTCACATGAGCTTACCTCATAGGAGAGCGAGCAATCCTGCCATTAGGACCAAGTGTCTGTAAGGGATGTGTTTCACACCTGACCTCTGTTTTTCTGTAGCTCCTGTGCACGTTTTTAATTTAAAATTCTGCTCTTTCCTATAGAAGGTAAAGAAGATGTCAAGGGCTTGCTGTTCCCATTCCAAATGAAATGGGTTCGTGTCCTGTTAATCAAGGAGCACGGCTGCAGCATTTGTCATTTCCCTTTAAAATAATGGGTGGTTGATACCTGTCATTTCCCAAGAAACTATATACCAGATTAAGGTGTATAGAAATAGAAATCTCAATTGCTGGTAACTTGGCCACAGCCAAGTTTAGGCATACCATTAGTGATGCATAATGAAATGACCTGAGTGGAGTTAGATTTAGGAAGGGGAAGAGAAAGCTATTAGAGTTGGATAGCTTGAGGATACTGTTTTACTATTAAAATTAAGCTTCTGACCCCTGGCTCTGATGTGATAAAAATAAATCTTCCTGTATTTCTCTTCTGCGTTTAATCTTCTGTATTGGAAAAGATAAAAAATAAAATCTCCTTCTTTCCCTTGTCTCTTTTTCTAGGCACAGGACCTATTTATGCTACAGACCCACTCCTATACATGTTCCTGTTAATACTGCATAATCTTGTACATTTATTAGTAAACCACTGATGGACTACTTCCTTCACTACTCCTCAGCCAAACAAAAGGAACCTATTTAAGAACAGGACAAGCCCCTGACAAAACATTACCCACAGCTGGAAGGATGGACAGAAAGAGACTGAAAGAAGCATGATAAATTCCACATGAGGGGAAAACATATTTTTGGGGATGTCACAGAAGGTAAACCACAAAAAATAATGCATCTAGTTTCCAGACCCTATGGTGTAAGGCCCTGCTCTGTGCACAGCACCTATGCTTTCTCTATTTTAATGTAATATTTTTCTTTTCTAAACCTTTCCTCTGACTCTTCAGACTCTTCATTTTGCACGAACTGTTGAGCAGTTATCTTTATGACAGTATGTAAAGATGCTGGGTCAAAACCCTTCCTAAGAAAGGAAATATTCTTAGTAGATTGTGTTTAGTTTTTCTGAATTTCCTTTTTCTTTTTTTCTTTTTTTTTTTAATTAAATTATTTCTTTTGGAGACATTTTAATTGAAAAGGTACATCTTACCATAATTAATAGGCACTGCTGATAATATTTATTTTTAAATGAAGATTGGAAACAAGGTAAGACATTTGTTTATAAACTGTATTGTATATTGCTGAATAACAGTTGAATAAAAAGATTTTGAAATAAAGTTTCTGCAGCTGTGTGTGACTTTCCCCGTGTTGTGAGGAGGATTTGTGGCTGTGTCCCATTCCCTAACTCGTCCCAGCACAGACGAGGACAGGTGGTGCCCAGCAGATGAACTGGCTGCGCTCGCACGGCCCCGTGCCGCTGTGTGCTGCAGCTGTAGCACGGTGCGGCCACTGCTGTGGGCTGCTGGGGAGCTGGGGCACATCGTGCAGCGTGGGCTCTGTGTGCCAGCCTGACACTTCCAAGGTAAGTAAGTTCTTCTGGAACTTTGCTCAGATTTTGTTCCAGTATTGGTTTAAAATATATTCAGTTTTTTAGGATTACACAGTTGTGTATTTTTTCTTAGCAAGAGTTTGTTCTTACGAACCAAATGCTTTTCTACAGTAAATAGAGGTTAATTAATTTTTGTTCAAAATGCCTGTTGTTTTGTGTATAATGGGATAACCTGGCAAGGAATCACAAATTTCTTTAGCTGCATTTATTGAAGCGCTTTGAAATCTCCTGTGCCTGACTGTGGTTCTTGTCCTGTCATTTATGTGGCATTCTAGAAAGGACCTTAATTGTGGAAATGGTAGAGACAGGTACGGCGCCAGCAGACTGTCAGCAGAAGGCGTGGAGCAAAAGCAGGACATGCTGGCTGCCTCAGCTCATGCTCCCCTTCTAGGAGAGGGTAGGAAGGGGGTTTCAGTTTCTCAGATGGTCAGCATTTGCTTTTCCTAGGATTGCCAGTCATAGTGAGGGACTTGTGCTGCCCACATCTCATAAGTGTGAGACCAAAACACGTCTGTGTTCCCTGCATGCTGCTGCACTGGCACAATGAGAAGCCCTCCTGCTCTGGGGCGGACTCACCGTAGGGATCTGCAGGTGATAAATTTTTTTATAAGAATTTTCATCCTCTTAATTCCTGTTGTATCCTCCGGATTGGGGAATAATCCATCATCATCTCACTGAAAGCAGAAGTGCTGTACAGAAAGACGTGGGGAGATATCTGCTGTGAGCCAGGAGGTGCCCGTGTGAGATGCTGCCCAGCTCCATCCTGCCCGTGTGTGCAGAGCAGGGTGAGCGCTTCACAGCGTGAAAGGAAACGGCAGGTAGAAAAAGACTGGAGTGCTGGTCCCTGCCACAATTAACTCTGACGTTTAATCCTTGTCTGGAAACTTGTTCAAGGACAACCGCTGAAGGCGGGGCTCTGCGTGGAGCCTGCCGTGTCACAGGAGCACGGAGCTTTTGAGTAATGGCTGGTGATGGAAGGGAAACCTGCCCAGGTTTGAACTGTGTGTCCTGGTGAGCTCATCACTGCTGCTTTTTCTCAAGGGCAGTAAGTATTTCTCAGTGACCTGCCTTCCTTCTAAGAGAAAAAACCCTAACAAATTTTTCCACAAGAGGAAGAAATACATCTGTCTAAATTTATCTGAATAAACAGCTGAAACTTGAAGTTGCAGAGCCTGTCTAGGAGTTAACAGTGATGCTTTTATTCATTCTGACTGTACCTCAGTGTGGTCTGTTGGTAATGAGATCAGTTGCTTTGCCCTGATACTTTTGTTTCATGACTAACAAACAGGCTGTGTTATTTCTTGAATTGCATACTGCGTGCTTTGCAGCAAATCTGGGAGGAAATGCATTATCTCGCCTTTGTCATTCCCCTCATACTGTAGACTGTTACCTGTGTAGGCATGTGACAGAATGTGGAAGTTGTGTGCAGCAAAAGGAGTAGAATTAACAAGATCCTTTTGATCTTAATCGTACTGAAAGCAAAAAAGTATTAAATCTGCAACTAAGTGTAGCACTGTTCTCTGAGATCAGAATTGTATGCTGCTGCAGGAATAACAATTCCTGTATTCTCATTCACTCACAGTACAACCTCAGAACTACTGAACAACAACCTGAGGCTCTGATGAGAAATCTAACAAGAGCAGCAGGCTGCTTTTCCTTCCACTGAGGAACACACATACAGACATCACTCATTCCCAGCAAACAGGAGAACTTCGACAAGAGAGCGCCTTGCCAAGAGAAGCTGCCTCAACATTCACAAACACATGGAAGGAGTCCTCCAGGTTTTGGGGTCTTTGCTTCTACATTTCATTCAGCTTTTTTTTTTGCCAATACTCAGTCTATGTTTGGGGAAACAACAAGCTGAAAAGGGAGGTTGCAACTTTGGTATGCAATTTGGTCTTCCAGGAGCACTCAAAAGAATGAGCGAAATTTTGTTGGAAAAGAAGTACAGAACTGGGTAGCCTTATTGCCTGTGAGTGCATTAAGGGCTTTTGCTAAAACATCTGTCCTGAGCACTCGCTTTTCTGAAAAGGGCAGCTGCCTCACTTCTGCTGATTATATTTACAAAGGGCAAAGGCAGTTTTTGCTGTACCCTTAATGGACAGAGGCTAGTGGCAATTCTTGCTCTTTCATAAATCTCAGCATTCCTACTGGTGTCTGCTGTCAGAATCGATTAGGAGCGAGTGCTCGGACTGCAGAGCCGTCGAGGGACAGAGCAGACCAGCACGGAGCCAGGCAGGAGCTCCCCCAGCACTGGCAGTGGCCTGGCCGTGTCCCCAGGCAGCGGGGGGAGGCAGCCCCTGGCCCCTGCTCCTTGCAGCAGGAGACAGCACGCCTGCAATGCCAGCAACGGCTGAGCTGGGAAGCGTGAGCGATGGCTGTGAGGGGCCAGAGCTGAGTCATCTGTAATATAATCATAAGGAAACACACATTTTTCCTGAGAGAAAATCAATAGAACTTTGCACTTTTCCTTGTAATATTTCCAGCCTGTGCCATCAGCCATAGTTTGCTCACAGTTATACTGCTATAAATTCACTGCAAGTTAATGGATTTCAACAAAAATGAATGGATTTACAACAGCATAATAGATCTAATGTTAGAGCCATGCACATGTAAAAATATGTGGAACAAAAGCAGATTTTACACCACATGGATCACCTTCAAGATGCCAAGGCCTTGCAAGGAAAAAGTAGAATTGCCTACTGCCAGGTACGCAACACACCGAAAGGAAAGGTGGGTGATGGAGGGGTGCACACACACAGAATGTAGGAAACTAACTGTGCCATTTCTCCACTTCTTCTGTAAAACATTTTGGACGTTCCACACATCTCATGTGGCATTACTAAGAAAATAAATAACGTGCCCCCAAAGTTGTGTGTCAGAACTGGACTGGTTAATGTATGAGCTGCCTCTGCTGCATTTGTTACTCCATGGTAAATTTCATGCTTAGCCAGAGGCTGCCCAAGTCCATTGATTCATTATCCTTAAACTTTGGGCGGTTATTAGTCAAGCTCCCTCCAGTACATCTATTTAATAAAGAAAAGAACGGAAAACTGATGGAATCAAAAATGCTCAAGTCTTAATTAGTGCTTTTTAGCAAAGACTGATTGGAGGGGTGTGGTGGGAATATGAAATTGCAGTGAATGTGCTTACCTGATTCCAGCAGCTGCTCCTTCCCCGAGCGGATGGGCTCTCCCAGCCCTCAGCCCTGCAGCCTGGTGCAGCTCTGGGCATCTGCACCACCAGCTAAGGGAGGAACCATGCTACACACCCTGGGAGAGAACTAAGATACCGATATACACAAATTATCCTGATTGATTAAAACTGTTTGGATGGTAAAAATCCTCATGGGATTTTCTTTTCACAATTTTGGGCTTCTGTGGTGTTTTTGTTCGCTAGCAAAATGCACGGGAAATGCAGGCTCTGTAAAAGGCAGAGCCAGGGGCTGCACACAGGGAAGTGTTTTGTTTTAATCCACACAGGAGCTGTAGTTACCTGGTTACCACAGCAAAGTTACCTGGTCCTGAAGTGAAGGGAGTGGGAGTAAGGCTGGGAGAAACCCAGCAAGGCACGAGGGCTGCAGTGCTGCACACCTGTTCCCCAGGCACAGCCCTGGGCTTGACAAGGCAGAAAAGAAGGGTGGCATTCTTTTTTAGATCATCTTTCTGAAACCCAACAACGTCTCTTAAGTAAAAGATGGATTTTACTGTAAGTAGAGCCAGCCAGGAAAAGTAATTTGGTTGAGATCTGCATCACTGACAGTACAAAACATGACTAGAAAAAATGGCCTTTTCTTAGCATCTGTGCCAATGTTAACCAACGAACTGAAGTTTTCTATTTTACCTTTGTTGTCTGTTAGCCTTATAGTAACTATAGGCATTTGGGGCATTCTAAACAAATCAGTCATAGTAAAGCTGAATCAAAGAGATCTGCTAACGGATTGTCCTTGTTGTTGGCTATAGATTTGTCTTCCTGTTATTGTTAAAATGATTCTTAAATCTCATATGTAAAATCATCTTTAATAAAAATTAAATGAACAAGGTCTCAATAAATAACTCAAAGATGCTTAGTCTACCATAAACATAAGATTTAGCTCTGAATTTCCATGTCAGAGCCTCCCCTTAACATGTAATTTATTTACTTGTCCAGGACAGCTGCATTTCAGTGCTTCCAGAGTTGTCAGAAGTGATCTGTGTGACTGAATGTGTCAGTGTGTCATTAATCAGCTGCTCTTTGCAGATCTGAAAATGTCATTGGCCCCACGGGAGCTTCTACACTGTCGGAGTGTGAAAGAAGAAGGGGGGTTTGTTTCATTCCCCCTCCCCAGAAGAGCAGCATGGTGGGTTGCTCGCACCTAGAAATGAACACCAAGGGTGCAATACCTCAGTTATGTCTTGGGACGTGTGGCCTCCCATGGCACAAGGCAGCCTTTGGCAGTCATTGCTCTGAGAAACTAGAGAAGGCACTAAGAGTTGTACTGGGAGAATGAGTCCTCTGGGTTCTCTAGAGCATCACCAGTGTGATGAGTAAGGATTCAGTTTTTCTTCTCAGCTTACCCAAATCCCCTCTGCACTAAAGGATAGTGGTGGGCCTGAACTGCCAGGTTCCCAGAGCTGTGCCTGGTGCATCCCAGGAGCCTCTCAGTCTCCCATGCTGTTTTGGGAGGAGAGCTCCTCCCCAGCCTGGAGCCAGCAAAGGTAACAGAAACACAAGGAAAAGTCACCTGCATTAGATCTCGAAGGCGCCTTCAACTGCCTGAGGAATTTAAAGCCTGCTTTCTGTACTTAAGCTGAGCAGTTTTGTGACTCCCAACAGGAACTGGGATGTTGTTGAAACAACCCATGCTTTTATTTTACCACAAGTGAACATACATTGCTCTGAGCTCTGGAAAGCTGGAAGCACCTAATCAGCTTGCCTTGCCCCAGCTATGCTGAGCAGTGTGTCAGCTGAGGAGCTGCACTTGCTTGGGAGTGCTGAAAAATCTTTGGGTAAGGACACAGGGTGTACATTTACATCTCAGTCAGGCCAAGGAATAATACTGAGTGGAAGTCTAGATTGAACTGTGCCTGTCAGTGATGCCCACTGCCTTGAGGAAAAGTCAAGAAAGGCTGCAAGACAAACTATCAAATGCAACAATGAAAATGTACAAGCTGATTAAAGAAACACTAGTTAATCTAACTAGCTTAAATTCCTACTGAAGTCAGCAGTGAAACTCCTTATTTAGTGAATTCTTTTGTATGACTCCTTTAATAATTAATAATACTGGCATTTCAGTCCCCAGGGAAGTAAGCAGGGTTTGACAAGGCAGAAAAAACACAAAATTAAGTATGTACTGGTGCTCTGATCCAGTTGTGAGTTTGTTGGTTTGGCTACCTTGCAGTTTCTTCAGCACGTAGAGAGATGAAGAACAAAGCCTAACCTTTGCATCCAGAACTGTGGGAGCTCAACTAAAAACAAATAGGAGTTCAGAAACACACGGTATGCACCTGTCAAAATCTGAACTGCAATGTGATTTAACAGCAAGACTTATCCAATGAAATTGGATTCAAGTTGCTACAGTGTACAAAGTCTAAAGTTAAAAAAAAATTCAATATTTTTCAAGAACATAAAATCCTTTTATTAACCCAGGAGTTAATTAGTTTGAAACTAGATAGGTGTTATGCTACTTACTCTAGACTAAAGTATTTCGCTAGAACAAATAATCTCAGAAGCAAATACCTGGAGCTTTGCTGGGTTCAGGAAGCATTTGTCAGTGCAGTCATAAATGTGCACGGGAAAGTCAACTAAGTTTAGGATCATTACCCAGGGATAATTCAAACCTTACCACTGCCATTTCTTGGAGCAGCACCAGACAAAGGACTGCTCAGTGTTCAGCCATGAAAACACCATGTGTTCCACACAGCACGTTTCCCTTTATCCAGAGCTTCTGTTGCTGCTGGCATTTATAGAGCCTGGGAAAAATCTCCGTCTGATCTGTTTACAGCTGGGAATGTCACTACAAAACGGTAAGGGAGGAGGGGATGTGATGTGGGAGGCTGCACGGAGCTTTTACCTGCAGACACTGAACCTCACCTGCTGCAGGATCACTGAAGTAGGAGACAGCTGACAGCCTGTGCAGGGAATGCACTAACGTCAGTTCTGCGGTCATGCCAAAGCCATTTATTTTTATTTGAGCAACCTATGTTCCCAAAAGCCAGATGAAGCTTAGATCAAGGAGACAGCTGAATAAGCAGGAGCAGCACAATTTGCCCATGGCTCAAACTTCCACTCTGCTCTAAAACAAGCTCCTCTAAGTCAGAAGAAAACTGCAGGTTTTTCCTTCATATGCTGAGCCAAATAGCAAAATAAGGTCTTTTCCCAAACAAACTCACTGAAAATGATTTTTCCCATGCATCTACCTAACTGGGGTGTGATAAAGTGCATAATTCAATGCTGTCTAGCCTGAGGGCTTAAAGAAAAGCTTACCTCTCTCTGCAAAACAGAGTGCAGATAGCTGATGTGACAACTGCCTATCTGCAGGCTGCAGGCTTTCAAAAGAGCAGGTAACACAGGTGCACTATCTGACCGCAGCTTAAATTCTGCCCAAGTCATGCCTGCTTGGTTCAGTATACTCAGTCAATGGCCGTTAAGGTATTAAATAGCCACAATGCACAGCTTATTTCAAAAGAAAATACTTTAAATAGCACAGGTGACTCCTGTGCACATATTAACAAAAAACCAGGACATAGTGAACGAAATTCAGTGTAGCCACAGTAATAACTGTAACAGAGAAATGCTGACCCTGACTAATGAATGGTAGCACCTGGCTATCGCTGCTCAGGAGAGATTAGGTTCTTTCCATAAATATTTCATATATATACACAGTATATTTTTTATTCAGCTGCCTCAGACCAAACCCAACATCTTCAGAGAAGTACATACCCCTTAAGCCCAGCAGCACAAAGTAGTCTCATGGCAATGGTAATTGCAAGTGGAAAATAGCTCCCAGTGTGCAAGATCTCTACTTTATTATATTGCGATGCATCTTCTTATTTTTCATGTGACTGGTTCATGTGACCCTGCCAGTATATAAAAATGCTGTTGAATGTTTCTTTTCTATTTTATTATAATGTAATATATGGGATGCTACAATTTTCCCAGTTACTTGCACTTGACTGATGTTTCTCTGAGAGTCAAAAAATTGCTACGTATAGTTGACTGAGATTAGAATGTGTAGATTGTGTACAGCTGTATCCTGCTTTCAAAGTGTAGGATTGGAAAGCATCCATTAAATTGTTATTTTCAGTTATTATTAGATCCTAAATCAGTTAACATAATTACATTCCCATAATGAATGTGCAGCATTGTGAGGCTCAGTGCTATATTTTCTATTGATCTATCTCCGCAACCTGTTTAGTGAAATAATTAAAATGATTTACAATGCTGACCTAATATCTTAGCGGTTTAGTAAATCATGGTGCCATGTGTGAAGCTCAGCCAGTTGTGAGCCCTCAGCCCTTGGCAGCACCAGGACCTGAAGTGGAGCTGCAGTGAGTGCTGTGCTGGGCCTGAAGTGTGCTGGAGGTGGGCAGAACCAGCTCCTCCAATGCTCAGGGAGAAAAAGAGGCTCAAACTGGTTTGTTTGTTGGCTGCCTGTGTTCATAGTACAAACATTTCAGGGTGCTACCAAGCTGAAGCACACTTTAGCTGTCATTTTCAGGCAATGTATCTTCACTTGCAACTTAAACGTTCCCCTTTTCTATCCCCAGAACCAACCCTAAGTGTGTGGCCAGCAAAAAGGGGGCCAGCTCTGGAGCTTGGAATTGCTACATGAAAGACAAGGAAAGAATAGGTGAAACAACTGTATCATTATTGTTGTTAACTTACAAGAAAAGACCAACCATAAGCACCTTCTCCTTCAAATAGGTTTTCAGGGCTCAGCAGGATTCAGTAGTGCCAAGACAGAGATACACTAAAGCAATGCCCCAAAGTATCTTAAAATCTCTATAGGTCTCTTTGATAATCTCAACAGGCCACAGGTAATTCCCCAGGCTCTAGAGAGGGCTTTTTTTCTAGCTCACCTTCCTTCATTGTGCTTGTGCAGTCAGGGTTCCCACGGAGCAAGGGCAGAAGCACAGAACCTGGAAGACAAAGTAGAAAGCAGTTGCATTAGCAAGGGTGGCAAGAGCAAAGTACATTTCAGGTATTATTACAAAAAGCTGGTAGCAATCCTTTTTCCCATTTAGAAAGAAAAAAAAAAAGTGCATTTTGACAGCTGCAGTATGGAGCCAAAAAGGATGGAGCTGACTTTTGTGGGATCAGGACAGGCTGCAACACGAGGCTGGCACAGACAGGGCACCCCATGGGGACGGCTCCCATGCTGGGCACTGCCCTGCAGCCACGCCTGGGCAGGGGGCACAAACCTGACCCCATCCATGACATGAGGAAAGAGCCCACAGCTCTGCAATCCGCTGGCATTTGAAACATCATTTATAATGTCTCCACTTGGAATTTGTGTGCCTGAACAAGCCTCAAGCTTGCTTTCAGCATCCATACATTTCTTTCAGTTTTATTCTTTTGCATAACTATACAAAGAAAGGAAAAATGTCTGATAGAAACTTAAAATTTTGAAGGCAGCTGTCGAACACTCTTTGCAGCAGATGTCATTATCCTCCTTCCTGACCCTAACCTGCCACTGTTCTTCTTTTGCTTTAAATGGACCTGTAATTTCACAATGTGCATTCAACTGGAAAGATGCTTTTTGTTAAATAAACTTTACCCTTGGACTGACTGCACTGGGCTCTGAAAAGAAACACGTCTTGCTTACGACTGTTCCAAAATAGGTCTGAAATTCAAAAAGAACTGTTGCTAAATGGGCTGTAATCATGCTGAAGAGCAAGGGAGTATTCTTCCAAAAAACAAATAAACAAACAAACAAAACAGAAGAAAATAAACTAATATCTGTGTTCTGTTCTTCAGTCTCACTGCTGATAATTTCACAGATCAGAGGATTCTGTTTTCAGAAAGCAGCCTGCTGTGCTGCAGTGTGTTTCCAAGTTGAAACAACTGTAGTGGTGCCCTTGGTACCACACCTGGAAGCATCAAGAAGGACCTGGCTGTCCGAGGCCCCACACACACCAAAGAACTGCTCCACAACACACTGCCACAAACCAGGGGGCGGCTCAGCAGCAAGCGCTGCAGTGCCAGAGCTGGTGGGACCCGAACAGAGACTTCATCGTTACTTCCAGAAACAACCCACCCCAAATTCAGATTGCAGGAGCGGTTTTACATACAAGGCAGTCATAGAATAGAGTCACAGAATCATAGAATCCTTACTCCTGCACTGCATCTCCTCTGTGCCTCTACCAAAGCATCTTTGACCTTAGGTGCCACATGCCATTGCAGCAGTCCTAATTTCACACAAATGTAACACAGAGAAAAATCCTTTTAAGCTAAACTAATGCAGAAGAGACTTGGGCTCAAGGTGTTTGTTAGCCAGGGCTCTGTGCTCACTGACCCGTGGCAACAGCAAACATGGGTCAGCTCGGTTATGAGTCTGTGATTAGTCAATTCTGTTTAGAGGCTCCACCTAAACCAAAACCATTCTCTCAGCCATTCTCACCCCCATTCTGTTTTTAGGAAGTACAAAGCGCTCAGTAGTCTCTACCTCCTGAAAAAACCCACTACTGGCAGGATGAAAGCCTGCCCCCCAGGTCTTCCCCACTGCAAAATATATAAATTCACCTCATGCTAAAATTAACATATATTGCTAAGGCGAATGAATTGCTGTATATCTATTAGCTTCCAGCATTTCCTGAGCAGGAACTTCACTTAATTAAACGCCTGACAGGCTAGCTCTCTCTAGAACCATGGCCACAGTTATTACTTTTATCTCTTTGGACACCTGCCTCTCACCCTGGTTTATCAGATTTCTCCCAAAGAGATGGACAAAGTATTCTCTGTTGTATGAGGCTGCGGGGTTTTGTGTTGCGCTTTTTTTAAAGGAAAGGTTCTTACTGAAGCACTGAACTCAAACAAGCATTTTTGGTCTGTTCAATTATCAAAGCAGCACAGCAGCATTAACCCCCTCAGTGCCCGGCACACACCTTCACTTCAGAGGAAATCAGACTGCACACAGGGAGATGAAAGCTTTCCAGTGGGTCCTGGTAGCTGCCTGCCCTGAGCGCCCTTACTAACGAGCGTGCCCACAGCAGAAAGCAAACCCATCAGCTCCTTTGATGTGTTTCCTTTCCTTTTTTCCTTGTACACAAACGTGGAAATACAGTTTTGACGCCCAAGCATGTAGATCAGTGCCATAGCTGCACTCCACTGAGTGAGATCTGCCTGAATTCCTCCACCATGTTCTGAGCCAGTGGTTCCACTGCCATTGACACCTTTATAATTGGTCATAAAAAGCTAATATATTTACAAGCAACACTGAAATAACCCCAGCCTACACGAGTTCCCAGTACAGGCACTGCTGTTACAGCTATCCCTGGTAATTGACTGTGCCCTGTAAGCACTCCCCTGACAGCAAGGCTTGCTGTGAGCTGCCACCCTCCCTCTCTGCCAGCAGCTCAGCACACAGCCCGGGTGCTGGGGGCCATGACGTGACAGGTCAGCCAGCTGCACCATTGCTGCAAGGCTCTTCAGAAGCTGCTTTGTGGGGGCAGTGCCTTTCCACGAATCTTGTTCAGCCCCAGCTCCAGGGACACACACACAAGGCGGGCAGGACTCAGTGCACCCCGGGGAATTGTGACAGGCACGTTCAAACCTGCGGGACCTAAAGATACTGGCTGCCTTGGCACTTGACACCTTTATTAGTGTGGACTTGGAAATGCATCTCTTCGACAAGGACAGTGCCAGCTGACTCGTTTTATTAAAAATAATGTCAGTCCTGACAGCCTAATTGTGTTACTTTGAAAGAGTCTGGCAGGAACAGGGCCTTGCCAGCTAGCAATGCCTTGGAGATGGATGCCTCATTACAGAGCAAAGATGAGAAATTTGTCTCTAACTAATGAATCTTTTCAAATTTCCTGGGATTTCAGCCCAGATCCCCAAGCTGCAGGCTGGCCAATGGGGCAGGGGCTGTCCTCACCCTGGGAGCACAGCTGCCTTCAGGGAATGTTCTCCCAGCACTGCACAGCAGGCTCCTGCACCCTACAGAGTGATGCACAGGATGATGTAATGCATCTTTGGCCAGCAGTTACCATTGGGAAAGTGCACAATCAACACAACCACACTGTATCATGCAGACCTGAAGAATTTGACAACCATTTCCTAGAGAAAAAGGTATAAACTTCTCTTTGATGAAAAATCCAATGTAATGAATGTTTTTGAGCCTCAAACCTTTTCATTTTTATACCTCAAATTTTAATCATGTTAATTTAATGTAGTTTGACCAAAACCGAATGAAATACATCATAAAGCAATTCAATCTGCTATAGCTCCAGTGACCTCTATTACTTTATCATTTTTACTTAATACTCATTTTGTGTGACGCATCCCTAACGCAATACAAGCCAGTATTTGCCATGTTTAAAAATAAAATATTACACAAGATTTAAGACTCAAAAATTAAAGACAGCAAAAATAGCAACCCCAAGACAGACTGCCACGGCTTAACACATGGGTACAGAACGCTGCTATTAATTAGAAATACAAGCTGTTGGGGCGGAGCAGCAGTGTCTGTCACACTGCCGTGCCTGTGCCAGCCGTGAGCTCAGCACACAGGGAAGCCCAACGTCAGCTGCCAGCAGCTCAGCTTTTGACTCCTCGTTACTGTTTTTGGGACCAAGCGTTGTTTTCAGCATCCCGCGAGGCACTTCACACTTCTGCAGGAGTTACCACCAGGTGTTCTAGGCTCTCATTTTTTAAGAAGGGTATGGCTTATTATTTTGATATAGAAAAGACAATAGTGTTTAAAAAAAATCATTTCCTTAGAGTAATGAATTCCCCCAAAGCCTCCTTCCATAGATAATTTTACTGTGATGTAAGAGGCCGGTGTACGTGAGAACTTGAGGTTTGCACACTACAAGAAGCTGCAAACAGCCACATTTTCTCCAAGGACAAAACAATTATTAACTCTCGATACTTGAAAGAGCTGGGTTCTGCCCCATGTAGGAGCAGGCCTGGACAGTTCACAAGAGGCAGCACTGCAGCACGCTGGCACCCGTGTCTCCCCGTGGGCACCCCGATCTCGGTGCTGGGCTGCCCTCTGGCGAGGAGCGGCGTTACACAGCCTACCCAGCTGCGTCCCAACAGCTGGCTTCTTTCTTGGCTTAAAATCCAGCTTTTAAATCATTTAAAGTTCTGAACATATTCTGAGATTATCGCTTGCCTTTCCAACTCCACACACAAGCCCAGGCTCTCTGGACAGCAGTGACAGCACAGGCAGGACACCATGGCCAAGCAGCCCAGCACCCACAAGGAAGCCAGCCGTGTTACAGTCAGCCAGAGCCCTGGGAGTGCCGGCATGGCCTGATCTGTGCTCCCAGCTGGCTGGACTGAAAGGAGGATGTGGAAAAGGGGCTGAGAAGCAGACGGGAATTAGGCTGGCTGTACACTGCTTCAGCACAGCCAGCAGAATGGGGAGGAGCTGGGAAATGTATTAACAACTTGGTATTTGGATAAGGGAAATCAGATTGGAGGGTTTAAAGAGGCAATTATTTTCACCAGTACACCTGTCCAGCGGAACCAAATTTGACTCTATTATAGTAAAATAAGTTTTCCTCCATAGATTGTTGCCGCTGCTCTTTTCCAATTTACAATTTGGCCCAAGAGGAATAAATTACGTTGATCTTAAGAACTCAAATGCTTGCTGAGTCGCTCTTCCTGGAGAATGACAGTATCTATTTCTTGTATCAGCTGTAATCAAGAAAAGCATGTCCATGATTACAGCCCAGACACCTTCCACACATCTCCATCTCCAGCTTCAGTTCACAATTACTCTTGAACAACAAACAACACTCTGATCTTCTATTCTTATGTCATACAAACATCTTCATTTACTGCACCTGGATGCTCTGCACCTCACCTGTAGCTTTCTGTGCCCGCTGGAAATTCCCCCAGGACATTGCTGTTACCTGCCTTAGCCTGCACGTGTCTCTCCCATCACCCACTGTAATTCAACACACCCACA